CGCTAACACCAGTCGAAAAACTATAGAGAAACCCCTAGGGTCATAAACAGCTGGACAACTTGAACAAAATCATCCTGAATGGCTGAAAAATTGCAAAAGTATAAATACGGAAGCGATGCTAATGCTATAAGGCCTGCTAGGACAGTGAGACAGCGGACGACGGGCAACGCAGACCAACCAACAACCACTGGAACTGAAGATCCAAACATGAATAACGAAGAAATGAAAGCAGACATTTTATCATCACTGAGAGGAGAAATTGCTAAAATGATAAGAGACGAACTTAAAGGCGCACTAGCGGAAGATTTCCAAGCTATAAGATCCGAAATCCAAGCAGTCCACTCCGAAATTGCTAACAGCTCAAAGACTATACAAGCTGAAGTGGATATTATAAAGACGGACGTTCTGGATCTAAAGGGTGGCCTATCAACGTGGTCAGATGAAGTTACCTCATTACAGTCTACTGTAACAAGTTTACAGAAAGAAATGTCAATGCTTAAAGATAAATGTGAAGACTTGGAGGGGAGAATGAGAAGGTCCAATATCTGCATAGCGGGCATTGAAGAACGCCAGGGCTCCTGCTCCCCACAAGCTGTGGCAACAATCATTAAAGAAGTTTAATAGATGGATCGAGACATAAAAGTGGACCGCCCACACCGCACACTCTCCCGGAGAAGACCCAGGGACCGTGAGACACCAAGAGTCATCACTGCTAAATTACACCATGGCGGGGATGCGGCGAAGATCCTGAGGAGAGCTCAAGGCAGAGCTCCGCTTTTGTACAACGGACACAGAGTCGCCTTTTTCCCAGACTACATGACCAGCGTAGCCAAAGCAAGAGCCACCTTCACGGAGGTGCAGAGGGTGCTGCGGGGCAACAAGGAGGTCCGCTACGGCCTCCTCTACCCAGCCCGATTTCGGATTACATTCCATAATGAAGAAAAGGAGTTCCTTGAACCCAAAGCAGCCATGGAATACGTCCGGAAAAATATCACTCCTCAGAGCCAGCCGAATGAAGGTACGGGGCACTACTGTGTAGTATAATGGAAGCTCACGTGGCTATATTATTTATTTACTTCCTTACTATTTTAGTTTATGTTCTACCTTGTACACATACAGTAGCTAAGCACACCTATTGCACACTCACATTCAGTCTTTGTTGTGCACTTTTGCGGCTTATTTTAGCTGCTGGGGACTATGGCCCAAGTATTCAAACTGTTCTGTGTTTCCCTAGTTCTGATCCCTGTTTTCTCCGGGGACCCTGCGCAAATTTGTTTCGCAAACTTATTTTCTTTGTTACTATTATCATTTTGCATCATTACTTGTTCATATTCATTTTGTTGAGACAGGTTTTGCTTTAACCCTCTCTGCTTGGATCTATGGAGAATGTGTACTGTACCTACATTCCTTAAGCCTCACACAGATAAGATAGTGTTATGCATAAAGGGTGAGCTGCCATTCATGATATATTCTGAGATGTCAAAACATAGTTCAGATAATGGATGACCCACTTAAAATTGTAACATATAATGTAAAAGGGCTCCACAATCCAGTGAAGAGAAAGAAAATATTGARTCAATTAAAACAAATTAATTGTCACATAGCCTTTTTGCAAGAAACCCATCTATCTGATACAGAGCATGAAAAATTAAAAAGATCTTGGGAAGATAAGGTTTTCTATTCATCCCATCATTCAGGGAATAAAAAGGGTGTTGCCATACTTTTA